GCGTCGCACAGCGGAGGGACCAAGGGAGAGCCCCAGGCCAGCCCAGCCCCGCTGTCCCTCGGGCGGGGGGCTCACAAGGCCCCCACCCCCTGAGGACCGGGAGCCGCAGCACACAGGGCCCCGGGATCTTTTCACCGATGTTTTATTGGAAACGTTAAATACTGGGGGTCTGGCTCCAGGCAGAGCCGGGGGGGCAGCGGGGGGGAGTGGTGGGTGACCCTCCTCACGCATGCTCTTCGGCCAGCTTCTCCGCCTTGGCCACCGCCTCCTCGATGGGCCCCACCATGTAGAAGGCCTGTTCCGGGAGGTGGTCGTATTCACCTGGGGGGAGATGCCATGTCAGTGGGGGGAGCAGGGGGCTGAGCCCAGCCCAGGCTCCCCTGGGCCCTCAGCTCCCCCCGGGGCCCATCTCACCTGCCAGGATCTGCTTGAAACCCTTGATGGTCTCCTTCAGCGGCACCAGCTTGCCCATGTGGCCAGTGAAGACCTCGGCCACCTGGAAGGGCTGCGACAAGAAGCGCTGGATCTTGCGAGCCCGGGCCACTGTCAGCTTGTCCTCTTCAGAGAGCTCGTCCATGCCCAGGATGGCGATGATGTCCTGCAGGGACTTGTAGTCCTGGGGGGAGAGATGGGAGGGGGGTGAGCAGCCAGTGCTGGCCTTCATGCCCCCCCCCGGCATCCCTGCGGGGGCGGCCCCGGCCCCCTCACCTGCAGGATCTTCTGCACACCCCGAGCCACATCGTAGTGCTCGGGGCCCACGATGTTGGGGTCCATGATGCGGGAGGTGGAGTCCAGCGGGTCCACGGCAGGGTAGATGCCCAGCTCGGCAATGGCGCGGGACAGCACCGTGGTGGCGTCCAAGTGGGCAAAGGTGGTGGCGGGGGCAGGGTCAGTCAAGTCGTCGGCCGGCACGTAGATGGCCTGGGAAAGCGGGAGGGGACGGTGGGCCCAAGGCGGGCACCGCAGCTTCCCCGGCACGGTGGGGTCGGCCCTGCTCTTACCTGCACCGAAGTGATGGAGCCCTTGCGCGTGGTGGTGATCCTCTCCTGCATGGTGCCCATGTCGGTGGCCAGTGTGGGCTGGTAGCCCCCAGCCGAGGGGATTCTCCCCAGCAGGGCTGACACCTAGGAGAGAACAGAGCCCGTGAGAGGCCCACACGAGGTGGGGGGCCAGGCATCCCCTGCAGAGCACGGCCCGGCCACCACCACGCTCAGCGCCAGGAGCCAGCACGCCAGCAGCCCTGCGCTGAGCACAGACCTCTGAGCCAGCCTGGGTGAAGCGGAAGATGTTGTCGATGAAGAGCAGCACATCCTGACCCTCCTGGTCCCTGAAGTATTCGGCCACCGTCAACCCCGTCAGAGCCACTCTGGCGCGAGCGCCTGGGGGCTCATTCATCTGCCCGTAGACCAGGGCGACCTGTGGGCAGGACCCAGGTGTTGGCACGGTGCCGCTCTGCCGCCGGCACCCCCGGCGCTGCCGGGACCCCACCCGGCCCCCTCAGGAGACCCAGCACACCTTGGAAGTGGCGTCTTTCAGGTTGATGACCCCAGACTCGATCATCTCATGGTACAAGTCGTTGCCCTCGCGGGTTCGCTCCCCCACACCGGCAAACACCGAGTAACCGCCATGGGCTTTTGCCACGTTGTTGATCAGCTCCATGATCAGGACCGTCTTGCCAACACCAGCACCTCCAAACAAACCTGGGAGGGAACGGGAATCCCACTCAACCCCAAGGCGATCCGGCTGCCCCGTGTCTCCCTTCTCCCTTTTCCTCCTCAGATCAATTAAGCGTTGCTTCAGCGAGCTCAGAAGAACGAAAGTCAAATGGTTACTCATCAGCGAAGGAAACTACTGCAGAGGTATCGGCCCTGAGCCTTGGTGGGGCACAGTGCGAGCCCCCAGGAAGTGCTCAGTGGGGCTGGCAGGGTGCTCCCCCCCCCCAGACACCCCCCGTTCCTCTGGGGGCAACGTACCGATCTTGCCGCCCTTGGCATAGGGAGCGAGCAGGTCCACCACCTTGATCCCTGTCACCAGGATCTCCTGTTCAACGCTCATCTCCACGAACTCGGGGGCTTCGGCGTGGATAGCAGCAAACCTGCAGCAAGAGGCGTAGAGAGGAGCTGAGCAGCCGAACCGAGCCCCTTGGCCAGGGTGCTGGCAGGAGACTGCGCGAGTGTGGTCCCTGCTCATGACCCAGGAGAACACCAGCGCAGCAGGGACACGCCGCACCCCTGTTCACACACGTGTCTGCTACTCCAGAACCCGTGCCCCCACCTCCAAACCCCGCACGACGCTCATCTCCCAGCCTGGGGCGTCAACTCACTGTTTCGTCGTGATGGGGCCCCTCTCGTCGATGGGTTCCCCGATGACATTCATGATCCTGCCCAGGGTCTCGGGGCCGACAGGGATGCGGATGGGTGCGCCGGAGTCCAGCACCTTCTGTCCTCTCACCAGGCCTTCTGTCCCGTCCATGGCAATTGTGCGCACAGTGTTCTCCCCTGCCAAGGCCCAAGGATAGTGTCACAGCAGCGCCCTCGAGCTGACCCTGGGGACAGCTGCTGGTGGCTTCCCCTGGCCCTGCCAAGGGAACAGTCTGCTGGGAGGAGGACCAAGAGGAGCAGCAGGACCCAGGGACAAAATAGCACAGAGAAAAACTGAGCCCAGGCCACACTCAAACTACATCCCTGCAGGCCAGGGCCCTCCGGCAGCCATTTTCTTCCTCCTCAGATTGAAATCCGTGGCTTCAGCAAGCTCAGGAGAACGAAAGTCATCAAGACACATCATCACAGGAGGACCCCTCCCACTCTCTGCAGCCCTTCTGCAGCAGATGCTCACCCAGGTGCTGAGCCACCTCCAGCACCAGCCGGGTCTCCCTGCCCTGCACCTCAAGGGCATTGAGGATGGGGGGCAGCCCCTCGTCAAACTGCACGTCCACCACCGCACCGATGACGGCCACGATGCGGCCGGTGGTCAAGCCGGCCTTGGCGGCGGGGGCCGGCTGGGCTGCATAGTCTCGTCCTGGGAGGGAGGAGAGGGACAAATCAAGGTTGGCCAGGGAAAAGGCAGCTCCGGGCTCCCACGTGCCTCGGGGGTGCGGAGCTGGGGCTCCCCTGCATGCCCTGGCTCCCCCGGGATGTGCCCAAGAGCCCTGCACCCTCCTCGGTGCACCCGGGACCCCCTGCAGCCCTCAATCCGCCCAGGATCCCTGCAGCCCCCTCGGTGCACCCCGGACCCCCTGCAGCCCCCTCGGTGCACCCCGGA